GCTATTGTTATCTAGATACCCAGAGAGCATGACATCCCTTGCCCCAGATTTTGCTTTTTGCTTTTCTCATTTAAGATAGAAAGTTTTCCTGAATTTGCAACATGCTTCCCAGCATTGCTAAAACAGTTCATAACTTGATTCTGAGCAATTCTACTACTTTCCAGAGAATTGGGAGCTCTCCAGAGACTCAGGTTAAAATTAGGAAGTTTTACAAGCTCAAATTCTCAGAGAGAACATATGTGTGTGTGTGTGTGTGTGTGTATTTATATACTTCAAAAGTTTATGACAATATTCGTATTATCTCTTAATTCTGTTTTCTTATGAGCTTTTTGAAGTACCCTCATATATGCTTACACACACACACACTACATCAAAGCCATACTGGATAATGATGAATATGCAAATTATTTTGATTTGATCATCACATATTGTACACAAGTATTGATAGTCAACTTTGTACCCCACAAATATGTGTAATCATTTATGTTTCAATAAGAAAAATAAAAAAGAAAGTATTAGAGGCAAAGTCCAGTGACTTTTAGGGAGTTGACAACAGATACCAAATCTATTCCATTTTTTAATGCTTTTGTTATATTTTTAGTTTTATTTTTGTCAGTAGTAAACTTTTCTTCAGTAAATGAGTGTCTGATGTCAAATACAGCAAATTGCAATGTAGTATGAAGCTATTTTCTGCTTTGTAGTGAAAGACAGTCTGCTCTACCCACATTTATATTTTCCACTTCCAACATGCTGAAATTGCTCTTGATAATATCACCCATGACCTCCTAAATGGCCAAAGTTGACTTTTCACTTCTGACCCTAGCTGCATTTGGCTCATTGGTAGCTCCTTCCCTCCTTTCTGATATTGTTTCTTCCCTTGGTTTTGAAATTCATACTTGGCTCTTCAATATATTCTGTATTGGCATGTCCTCCTTTCTCTTATGTGGTAATAACTGACCTGTCAGATAAGTACTTTTACCACATAATTAAACTAAGTGACTGAACAAAAATATAATGAAGGCTTCCTATCACAAGATGTACATGGACTTAAAAAGAATACCTTGGAATTTTATAAAAACCTCTCTCTCTCTGAAATTCATTCACATCACCTGTACCCCTTATCTTACCCTTAAATCTTCTTATGTAGAGTACACTGATTAACAAACTATGTTGTGCATTATACACCTGAAAATATTAAGGCTTTGTTTTCTTATTATAGATAATCAAACTTCATGTTTATCTAACACTCAACTAAAAAGCATTTGACATTTCAAAGGTGTGCTATTTGATTATTTCAATGAACCCTGCAGTTTAATGAACTCTGAGTTGAATAAGCATGTCGTCCAATTATTATTAGAACAGTAATTCTCTGAGCTTGTATGCAAGACCTGGGAACATAGTTCTTTTTAACTTTTACAGCTGACATTATCTATATCCTCACCTGCTTCTACAGCTTAGTTCTTGCCTAAGGCAAGTCCTCATGCTCCATAGACGTGAAATCTTAGAATGAGACAGAAAACCCTCTAAGATCTATTTGTAACCTCTCTACTGCTGAGCACTAAGACTTGTGGAGTTCTCTCCAGAGCCTATCTTCTAAGAAGCTGGGAATTCATCTCAGCAATAGTCTCTCCTTATTTAGCCTAGTCTCCAATTCATACATAATTAAAATCCTCCCCAATTTTGCCTAAAGGAGACAAGAATATTGCACTTCTTAATACTTATTTCTCTATTTATATTTATTTTTCCAAGCAGGAGCCATAAGATCTCTGCATCAGAGAATACATCGTTAATTACTCAAGAGCATCTTAGGGCCAGTTGTTTATTTGTGAGTGCAGGGGTTGCAGTACAGGAGAGCAAACCCAAAATTGTGAATTTCAGAGCATATATAAAGCAGCTAACATGTCTGTCAGAGAGAGACAGAGAGAGAAACAGACAGATAGACACACAGAGACTTCGCTCTGTAATATAAACAAATCCTGTCCAGGGAAAGGGAAAGATCTAGGTCTATTATCTTTGAAATGTAAGTTGAAATGTAAGCAAAGGGCTCTGGGAGATATAAGTTTTAAAACCTCTCTGGTGCAATGCACTACTCTAAACTCCAAGGCATGTCTGCCATTCAATCACCTTTTAACCCTGTTGCTGGAACTCTTTGCTCAGAAAGCCTAGACCATGCAGAAATGTGAAAATGCTTGTATGTATGGCCCAACAATAGTCGTCATCTCATTCCTCTTCTCAAAATCTGATGCCAAGCACCTACTGGACAACTACAGCCTGATACTCCAAAGGCTTCTTAGTATGACCATGTACAAAACTGAACTCACTTACACACTCATATACAAGCATGCACCCACGGAACCTTCTCATCCATCTAAAATCCTTTTATTCTCTGATACCACTATTCAGCCGAATGGCCAGAACAGACACCTGGGAGTTATTCAAGTCTTTCCTTTTCTTCACTCAATACAGTCACTGAATTCTGCCAAGTCTCCTTCTTAAACTTCTTTCCCAATTCAGTACAAATATGAACACCAACTAGATATTTGATTAATAGATTTGTGTTAATTTGGTAGGTGTGATAATAGTATTATGTGTACATTCTATGAAAAAAGTTCTTAGATTTTAGAAACACAAGCTGAAGTATTTATGGATAAAAAATCAATTTGTTTCATAGTAATCTAGTTGAAGAGGTGAGTAGGTGGGGGTACAGATGAAAAAAGGTTGTCCAGAGAGTCATAACAATTGGCAGTGGATAATAGGTTTATTGGGGGGGGGGTGTATTATTTTTCTACTTTTGTATACATTTGAAATTTTCCATAATGAAGTTTTTTAAAAAATCATGGTTCCCTATTGGCTACTGAGTTACATGCGGAAGTTTCAGTTTGAGATTCAAAGCACATTATGAAGCATTTCCAGCATATTTTTCCTGGCCTATCTTTTTCTAAGCCTTTACATTTCCAAAATGTCAGCCAATATGACCATTCATCTTACCTGTCTTTGTGCATGTGTTATCTGCTAGCAATAATGTCCTTCCTACGTCCTTTACAAAGCTATGCCTACCCCAAATTTCACCTCTTCATGAGCCTTTTTCTGAGCCCGTGAACAAATATGATATATGATCCATTCCTTCTCTAAACTTCTAGAAATTATTTTGTACTACTTAGACCACTCATCATATTCTTTCTTCTCATTTAGCTGGGGTTTCTATACGTTCATTGTTTTTTTCTTCAATTCTGCAAACCACACCCTCCCTTACTACTACAGCGAAAATCCGTTTAAAACTTCTTAAAAACAAACAAAACTGTGCTTCACACAACTTTGCTTTCCCTGTGTTACTCCTTGCACATCAAAAGAGCTCAATAAATACTTGCTCAATTGACTTGTCAATAACAATTCAGATGAGCAAAAATTCATACTAGCAAGATGAGCCAAACATGTATTTTTTAGCAAATTCCTTGGGGAATCAATATTTTTAAAGAATTTTCTTTTATATAATAAATCTATGTTTTGTGTTGTTTCCCCTTAAATACAGATTTTAAAATGGAGTTAATTTGTGGGATACATTCATTTACTCAGCAAAAAACCATTGGGCACTTACCATGTGCCAATTACAGGTTTGAGCTCTGGAAACCCAGCAGAGAGAGAGAGACAGATAGCATCCCTATACTCATAGAATTTTGTCTAGTGGTGTATAGAGATCCCTTGATACATAATTTAATGTTATTCATATGTGCCATGAAAAAAAGAAGAAGAATACAGGGAATTAAAATGGTTGGGACTGCTATTTAAAATAGAGTGGTAGAGAAGGCTCCTCCAAGATGAGAAAGAAGTGAGAGAACTAGCCATGCAAATGTCAGTGAAGTAAAATATTTTTGGCAGAGAGAACAGCAAGTACAGAAATCGTGAAGCAAGAGTATGCTTGGAATACTCAAAGAATGCAAAGAGGCTAATGAGGCTGAAGTGTTGTGAACTAGGGGGAGACTAAGAGATAAGGTTAAAATGGTAGGTACCAGACGACCAAGTTATATAGAGCTCCATAAGCCATAGCAAATATGAGTTTAATGAGGAGCTATTGGAGGGTTTTGAGCAGAAGAGTAATATAATCCAATTTATGTCTTAAAATAATCTCTTAGCGTGTCGCGTGGAGAATTGACTGAGAGAGGAGCAAGACTGGATGTAAGAGGACTAATTACATAGCTATTGCAATAATCCGGGTGAGAAACAATGATAGCTTATATCAGAGTTATAGCAAGAGAGGCAGTGAGAAGTGGTAAAATTCTGGATATGTTCTGAAAGTAAAGCCAATAGGATTGTCCAATAGTGTGAACAATGAAGATTGAAAAAGTCAAGGATGACCCCAAGGTTGTCAACATGAGTAATTACTAATATGCATTAACTGAAATAGGGGAAACTACAGGAGGAAGATTAGGGGATTCAGTTCAGAACTTTGTTTGGGCCATATTATGTTTGAGATGCTCATGAGACATCCAAGTGTAGAAAAAGCACATGGACTTATTAGTCTAGAGTTCAGAGGAGAGGTCTGGCCTGGAGATTTAAGTTTGGGCGTCATTGTCTTATAAAAGGTATTTAAAGTTATGGGAACAAATGATAGGGAGTACAGACAGAAAAGTAAAGAAATGCAAACACTGAGCCAGAGCACTGCAGTACTGAGATCAGTAAGAGGGGAAGCATCCAGCAAAGGAGACTGAGAAGCAGTGTACACAACAGTATAAGAAAAACCCGTAAGAGTTCAGGTTACAGAAGCCAAATGAAGGCAGTTTTAATATTCAGGGAGTGAACAACTATATTACTGAGGACTATGAATTACCCATTGAATATGGGCGTGTCATTGGGCTTCAGGTCTAGTAACCTTAAAAAGTCAATAATTACGAATTGCCAGACTGTTTACTTCTGGGTTTTATATACTTTTTTTTTTTTTCTTCTTCTTCTTTCCATAGACAGCTTACTCATTTTTTACATGTCTTAAAATTTAAATATTACAGAACATAAAAGAAAGTCTGCAACAAATCTCAGGTTGGATTGACATTATCCACAACAAGAAGACAGCAGCATTGCAAAGCGCCACACCTATAGAAAGGGTGAAGCTACAGGAAGCTCTCTCACAGCTGGATTTCCAATGGGAAAAAATTAACAAAATGTACAAGGACCGACAAGGGTAGGTAATGCTTTCTTTTTACCGAATGATTATACCTGTTTTCAGGGAACACTAGAATTTATTTCAGTGCACTTCATGGAAAAAAGACAGAGCAAAGTAGAAGGAGAAGTGTCACTATTGTTGGAGAAAGTAAGTGTAGTAAGAACAAATAATGATGCTTCAGACCAATGAGCTGAATTTTAGAAATTATTCTATACTGAAATTAGCATTATTTTGGAGCATTATATCATCCTCTAAAATTTCAGGTAATGTCAAGGCAGGTTTGATCATTTAATTGAAGTGGTGTAAACAATTGTACAATATAAAATGCATGTCTTTAGTCAAACCCTGTGCTATATATTTACAGCAGTTTGACACTTAGATTAATATATTTAAAACATAACCTATCAACAAAAAAGTTGATTTTTATTTATTGTTTCTGTTTCAGAGGGGTGATACTCTATACTTTACAGTTTCCCCACCTCCCATCCTACCTTTTCTTTTCTTCTTTTTCCTTTTTTATTTTTTCCTGTGTTGAATTTCCTAAGTTCATTTAAATCGATTTTTAGTGCTCGCTCTAATTAAAATATTTAGATTTGACTTATTTGGGGGTTGGTAATTTACATTCTTTAGCCTCATATCACAAGAAGATGGAATATTTTTTTCTTTTATAATATTAAGTTAAAAGTAATAAAGTTCTCTAATAGTTTAAAACAATTTATTTCAAAGTTCTGCAGTCCCAAGGCAGACTTCTTCATTATTTTCAGAGGAAACTAAATTATTTATTGAATAGTTATGGGGAACCTCTTTAGTGTCTCTCAACATCTGTCTACTCCTAACCATCCTTAATTCAATTATACTTAAAAGTTCTTGGTTTACTACATTAGGTTCCTGAACAGATACATTTAGCGTTAATCTCAGTTGTCTCCAATGATCGTCCCACTTTATTCCCAATTATCTTTTCATCCAGTCATTTTTCTAAAGTGTAAGAACTTCAGTACTATAATCTCATTCCTCTGAGAATAAAATGTGGACTCATTAATAGGGCGTATGAGGCTGTCACAAGAACCCTGCTCATCTGGTCAGACTCACTACTTACTACTTCCTGCCTGCCCCACAACCCTTCCAAATTCTGCTCTGGCAATATTAAATTGATTTGCAGATCTCCAAGTTTTTTGTGCCCCCTCTAGCCTACCTGTCCTTCAGGTCTCACCTGAGATGTTATATCCTTCTTAAGATCCTAAACCTATTAGTTGACCATAATGTCTGGAAAGTTGAACATTGTTTTACCATTTAATCTAATCTACTATAAATAAATCATTTAAGTATTTGCAAAAGTTTCCAGATATGGTGGCTACCCTGTAGAGTATATGCTCCGATGACCTGCTTTTAGAATTTACCACATAGTAATCAATTTGTTTACTTTTCTGCCTCCCACACAAGGTCCTGAAAGGGAAGGGCTATGCTTTATTTTGTGTGATGTGCTCAGGTCTGATAGAGTGTTGAGCACAAGGTGGGTATTCAGTGTGTCTGGAGTCAAGCCTTCTCCCAGAAACCTGATAATATTCTCCCCTGGGTGGTCTAATAAGTTTACCTCAACCTACTTGGAAACAGCTGGCCCCAGTGTGTCCTAAGCCAGTCTTGATGAATGAAAAGAAACTCAGCAACCTTGTGTATATACTGCAAAAGTCAAACTTAAAATTATACTGCCACCATGGTGCACTTTCTCTCATATCCCATATTGAGTCATGAGGCTCTGCAGACTACTCCAATGAGGTCAGTTTAATCATCCTCTCTTGGGGTGCTCATTCCACTGTTGGAATGTTCTTGTGTCACTGTTGTCTTTTTCCAGTCAGTGTTTTCTCCCAACACAACAGGCCACCCACATCAACCCCTGACACCCTTTGGGGATTCTGAGGTAGCCAGTGATCACTGTGTCTCTACAGGTATCTATCACTCTTGTATTAAAGCAGAGGTAACAATGGTTTTTGAGGCTTCTCCACCACTTTACTTAATAGGTCATTTTTGGCCAATGAGCCAGGTATTTCCTTCTCACAGGGTCTTACAGACATTTCCCTTTCAGCCTTCAAACCTAGACTTAAAAAGAACCGAAGCATTTATGCCATTCCACAGAGAGGGTAGCTGAAATCTTACCCCTAATCTGAGGGTTTTTTTTTTTATTTCTGGCAAAGGATACAGTGTCTCTAACACCAATAGATCCATGCTGTCCTCATCCAGAGTCTGGTATAAATGCTTAATTTTACTCCAATTGACCTTATCTAGGAATTGGTCAGTAGCTGTTAAATTTCCTATGACTTTTAGTCTAGTCTCAGATAAAACTGTTTTAAGTAATTGCGTATGAGCACAGGCTCTAGAGTCCAACCCCTGGCTTTGCTGCTGACTAGTTTTTTGTCCTCGAGCAAGTTCCTTAAGTCTTATGCACCACAAATTCTTTCTCTATAAAATGGTATAAGAATAGTGTCGAAATCATACGGTTGTTATGAACATTAGCTGACAGAACACATGGAGAGTGCTCAGTGGCTTGCTTACTCATGTAAAAGCTCAGTGAAGGTTGGCAATTTTGATGATGAAAATGATGGTCTTATGGCTCCTGATAGTCTTGACATCTGTTAATTCATTATTATACTCTCAAATTTTTCTGAGCACTCCAGAGAGATGAGTTAGATTCAGTCACTGCTTTGAAGAACTTCCTTGTCCTGAAGAGAAAACGGACAGGCAGCCAAGAAAATAAGGGTTGATAGATATGAGCCATACTAGACGGCAAAAACCAGATCCTTAGGGAATGTGATGGAAACTTTGTACTCGGACTTAAGAATAAATCAAAGTCTGTGGACCACTGAAGGTTCTGAGTTACAACTAACAGAAAGAGACTTTGGTTACCTTAGGTTGAATTACATAGTTTACTAGGAGGATATCAGGTACCTCATGGAAATCAGTGGGAAAGCCTGAGAGCCAGGTTTAATAATGGGCAGAAACTATAAAGGAAGACCAGGCTAGGAAACACATCTAGCATCAAGCCACAAAGTAAATCTGAATTATATTCTGCTGTCATTACCATGGTCTACTGCTGCACCAGGGGCACTATTGCCATTACCACTGAACATTGCTTGCTACTATAATTGCCAAAAAATATCTAAATTATCACTTTCTATTTGTGTCACTCACTCTACAATTAAGATCTCTGGCAGAAGCATCTGATATGACAGAGGTTGGATTTTTTTTTTTTTTTCTGTAAAAGGCCAGTTAGAAATATTTTAGTCTCTGCTGGCCATGTAGTCTGTCACAATTACTCAACTACTCAACTCTGCTGTTGAAGGGTGAAAGAACCACAGACAATAAATAAATGTATGGGCATGGCTTATTCTAGTAAAACTTCTTTTACCAAGCTAGATGACAGGCCAAATTTTGCTAGTGGGCCATAAATTGAGGACTCCTGTTATAAGGCATGCTTAGGTCACAGAACTAGATTCTAACTGCCAAGGGTCAAGGAAAATTAATAGCTGGAATTAAGTTTCTATTGTAGTAGTAGTAATGATCTTGTGTCCCGCCAAGGCCTATACAATGATAGATTCATGAATCCCTGGAGAGATTTAGAAGCTATGCATTTATAAATAGACATATATTCAGTACAGCCTTCATGTTGGGATCCTGACAAAAATCTACTGAATTTTTTAATAATCCAATTAAAGTTTAAATCAAAACACCTTTGAGTCAATAAGAAGTGCTATACTATTATTTTTCTCATATAATCTGTGTATGACGATGTATTATTCAGCTATTAACACAATAATACTCTAATACAAATCATCCCAAAACTCAATGACTTAAAACAACAGGCATTTCTGGGTATTTAGGTTGCTTATACTGTGGCTGACTCTTGCTGGGCTTGGTTGGGCAGCTCTGCTTCAAGATATGCATTAGCTGAGCTAGGCTCCATGGTGCATGTTAAATTAAGGTCTGCTATGTATTTCTTTACTCTGGGCCTAAGCTAAAGGGGCAGTGGCATGCTATTCCCATGACAGGAACCAGAGAATGAACCAAGCTTAACCTTCCAAGAGCATTTATGGCCTGTGCTCTTGTCAAGTCCACTGACATTCCATTAGTCAAAGCAAATCACATCAATAGACATCAATAGAATGGGACAGACACCAAGCCTGACACCAAGCCTGACACCAAGCCAGACACCAAGCCTGACATCAGTAGAATGGGAAAGTAGGCTCTTCCCACAGTGGAAGGGAGGAGAGGCATAAATATTTGCTGAACAGTGACCCAAATTGTAAGAGATAGCTAATAATAGTAAAATATATTTTATAGCAAGAAAATACCTTCGTGATTTTGTCCTGTTTCATTATTTTACAGGAAAGAGAATTAAATCCCAAAGATGTTAACTGGCTTGCCCAAACACATACTAAATAGCCCATCTGCATATTTCTCTTTCACCAAAATATTTAGCTCTAATACCTTTGCATATTTTACTCACAATAAGTTACACATAAGAGAAAATGCATTAGATTCCCAGCATTCCTAAGGCATAAGTGCTGAGACCATCATTAATCACTAAATTCATGAATGTTATAATCACAAAACTCACCTTTATAAAATGTCATTAAATAAAAAAGACATTACTCTTTAGGTGAAGGCAAGAGGAGAATTAAAAGTCAGACTGATTTGTGACTTCTCACTCATTATCTAAGGGACCTTTTTCCATACATTGTCTTTCAGCAAATAGAATTTTAACATATGTCTCAGCAAAGTTACACATTGTCAAAATATTGAAAGTGGCTCCTTTTGATGGATGTTCTGGGGGCTCACAAATGGTCAACACAGTCAACATTAAATTCACAAACACCAGGAACTTATAAAGAGACATACTCATATATGTAAGATAAATATTTAACTTTATGGGAAATTAATTTTACTGCTAAATTCTGTTTTCATCTATTTCATGGTGGGTAACCCACCGTTTATACAATATACCTACACGCAGCATGTAAAAATAAAGAG